GTAATGCAAATGACACTGGAAGTGAAAACTGGGTCTTAAAAAAAATATTTTTTCACACAAAGATTTATCATAGTTTATTATTATGTATTTTTATAATTAAAGATTGAATGTCTGATTAGGACAAGGGTAAAACAATCAAATGTATTCATAGAATATTTAGAAAAATAACAAATAGAAGAAAGCATGATTTAAAAAAAAACATTTTTTTAAGTGTTAAAATCTGTTAGTTTTAATAAATATCAAGCCCTGAGATACTTGATTAAATTCTTCTTCTTAACATTTGTTAAAACACTCTTCCATCTGTACCTGGCAGTGCATTTGTTAATGCTAGACGTAATCAATCTAGACGTAATCCATTAATCGGTTTCTTGGCAAGATACTCAAGTTATTTTGTCTCCGCCCATTCTCACTCAGGCTCATGAGCGATTGGAGGATGTTAAGCTGGAGGCGGTGCAAAGTAATAACGTGGAGCTAGTGAGTGAGATCCTGTCTGATATGAGCAGTCTGATCACTCAGGATGAAAGTGCAGCAGAACTCTGTAAGATCCTGAAGGAACCCCACTTCCAGGTACCAAACCTCTGTGTGTGTGTGTGTGTGTGTGTCTGTCTGACTGCCTCTTACATGACATTATGTTGACTGCTTACTTACAACTATTTATTCATCCGGTTGCTGTCTTGGTAGTAAAGAAGCAAAATCACCTCTAAACACTTGAGAAATTGGACAAATGAGTTGTTGTTTTTTTTAAAGGAAGATAATTCATTTGGTAATTTGTTTATTCTCTAAACATGAAAAATTCCCACCACAGTGCAGTTTCCACCATATATCAAATTATATATTCCCTTTTTTATAATTTGGTAGAATTTACATTTTAAACATTAAAAAAATATATAAAACTTTTCCCTAAGGCTAATTTCTAGAGTATTATGTATCCTAATACACGATTGAGTACACATTTTACATAACATTACAGTTTGATTGGAAACCATACACAAGTCGTCTTCTCACATTTTTTATTTATGTATACATTTCAAACATACACTTCACTGACTGATTGCTGAACAAGAACACTAAATTGGAAAAAAACATTTGAGGCAAAATTTTTCAGTGTAATGCAAATGACACTGGAAGTGAAAACTGGGTCTTAAAAAAAAGATTTTTTCACACAAAGATTTATCATAGTTTATTATTATGTATTTTTATAATTAAAGATTGAATGTCTGATTAGGACAAGGGTAAAACAATCAAATGTATTCATAGAATATTTAGAAAAATAACAAATAGAATAAAGCATGATTTAAAAAAAAACATTTTTTTAAGTGTTAAAATCTGTTAGTTTTAATAAATATCAAGCCCTGAGATACTTGATTAAATTATTCTTCTTAACATTTGTTAAAACACTCTTCCATCTGTACCTGGCAGTGCATTTGTTAATGCTAGACGTAATCAATCTAGACGTAATCCATTAATCGGTTTCTTGGCAAGATACTCAAGTTATTTTGTCTCCGCCCATTCTCACTCAGGCTCATGAGCGATTGGAGGATGTTAAGCTGGAGGCGGTGCAAAGTAATAACGTGGAGCTAGTGAGTGAGATCCTGTCTGATATGAGCAGTCTGATCACTCAGGATGAAAGTGCAGCAGAACTCTGTAAGATCCTGAAGGAACCCCACTTCCAGGTACCAAACCTCTGTGTGTGTGTGTGTGTGTGTGTGTCTGTCTGACTGCCTCTTACATGACATTATGTTGACTGCTTACTTACAACTATTTATTCATCCGGTTGCTGTCTTGGTAGTAAAGAAGCAAAATCACCTCTAAACACTTGAGAAATTGGACAAATGAGTTGTTGTTTTTTTTAAAGGAAGATAATTCATTTGGTAATTTGTTTATTCTCTAAACATGAATTGAATCCTCTTGGTATTTTCAGTCCCTGTTAGAAGCTCACGACAAGGTGGCCTCTAAGTCATATGAAGCTCCTCCCACCAGCACCAATTCCACCAGCATGACCAGCTCATCCCTCATGTCGGCTGACACTGTTCGCATGATCAGCATCCAGAAGAAGGCCGGAGAGCCTCTGGTGAGTGACAGATGTTCTCAGTCTCACAGGATTAGATCCCACAGTCGGTCAGATCTTTAGCTCTGTAGAGTCCCTCTACTCACAGCTTGTGTTTCAAATCCATGCGGTTCGTCTGCGTTGGAAAGTTTGTCTGCATTAACAAGATCTAGGCTTACTTGTTAAATTAGACCTTCATATACAACGAAGATCTAAGGCCAACCAGTCTCGAGGAGATCTATAGTGATTTAACACCTAGTAAAATAAAATGTCATTATGTCTCTGCCAAGGTCAGAAATTCACCAGGGTGCTGGTTAAAAAGGCCACTGAAAACCACCTTTATTTATTCATTTATTGCATATTTCATTATATTATATTATATTAAAAGCCACTGAAAATAACATTTAGGGATATTTAGATATTTTAATATATGATTTTATATAAAGTGTCACTGAAAGAAAGAAATGTTATTTTCACTGGCTTTTAATATAATTGATAATATAATGCAATATACATTAAATGAATGAATAAGTAATGTTATTTTTAGTGACTTTTTTAATTAGATAATATAATCCAATAAATAATGTAATTTTTCAGTGGCTTTTACATATTACATTATATATAATAGAAAATATAATACAGTATCCCTTAAATAATTAAAATGACATTTAAATAAAATTTAAAAGTTTAATTAAATTAGTTTTAGATTAAAATTGTAATTGTATTTAAATGCTATTTTAATTATTAAATGGGATATTGTATTATTATTATTTGTTATATTAAAAGCCACTAAATTATTATTTTTTTTTATGAAAAGAGATTGTATCATGTTTATTAAAGGCCACTGAAAATAACATTTATTCATTTTGGTATATTATATTATATTATTATGCCCTATAAAGTAAAAACAGAAAAAAAAGTTTTTCAAATATCATCCCTTTATAAAAAGTATGTCTGACTATTTGTGCTGACATCTGAGATTCATGGTGTCGTCTCTTTTAGGGTGTAACATTCCGGGTGGAGGACGGCGACCTTGTCATCGCGCGTGTTATGCACGGAAGCATGATTGACAGACAGGGGATGCTGCACGCAGGTGATGTCATCCGAGAGGTGAACGGCCGAGAGGTGGGCAAAGATCCCATGGCGTTACAGCACATGCTAAGGGACTGCAATGGAAGCATCACACTCAAAATCCTGCCCAGCTACAGGGACACGCCTCCACCCGCACAGGTCAGCACACCACTGATTCACAGCAAACCCAGTGAAATTAAATGACACCAAAATCTAAAATATTCATCAACATTTTACAGACCAAAAATATTCACACCAAGTTAATGACAGAATTTGTTTAATTTTTATTAGATTAATTGTAATAAATACAAATTGAATATACCTAAATTAATTATTTTGTATGTGAACAGTTAAATTAATCAGTCTAACCTCCAAACAGGAGTTTTTCATTCAAATTCAGATTTTGTGTACTCAATCACTTTTTATTTGTTACATGGCTGGTTTTGTGCAGTCCTTTTTGATATATGGAACCGGGTTTCAGTAACTGAAATGCTCTAGTGTCATCTATTTAGTCAGACATGATTAATTTATTCCACAATCAAATGTGTCCAGTAAAAGAGAGGAAACTTAGAAAAGTGAGCATTTAAAAGGGACATCAGATGAAATGTAAACTTTTTTGCATTTATTTAGGTTTCTGGCATTTCTGCCAGCTCAGAAAAGCTGAAAAGAAAACATGCAGCCAGTTTAGCGAGCGGTTTCAATTTGCAGTTTGATAGCAATTCTATATAGATAGCTAGCTATTTGAATAAGACCACCTCCGAGCCATATACGGATATATTCATTAAAGGTAGGGTATGTAATTTTTCAAAAACACTTTAGAAAACTGATTCGGGCCGAATAGCAAAACAAACTTGTAGCCAATTAGCAATAAGGGGCGTGTTTACTCGTGATGTGGAGGAGAGAGCTTTCAGTGCATGGGCAAAAGATAGAGATGGCGGATAAAAAAACAAAAGAGGAAAACATCTGCGGAACGATAAGGCAAGAAGTAGGACCCGTGTATATATTGGATCAGCTTTCCAGCGCTGGAGAGAACTCAAGGAGCGGAGGCCTGTGATCGGACGCCGAGGTTGCTTTGTTTCTTCTCAATAGGTGTGTAACACAGTGTCTACAAGAGCTAAAGTCTGCCTACACTGGACGCGATCAAACCACCTTTGAAAACCATTTGAAATTTGTCTCAGCATGTCATAAAT